CGCCTGCCACAAAATCTGTACTTGACCTTGCGAAAGTGCTGCGCGTGCCACGAATTTTGCACTTGACCTTGCGAAAGTGCTGCACCTGCCACAAATTCTGTACTTGACCTTGCGAAAGTGATGCGCCTGCCACGAATTTTGTACTTGACCTTGCGAAAGTGCTGCGCCTGCCACGAATTTGGCACTTGACCTTGCGAAAGTGCTGCGCCTGCCACGAAATCTATACTTGACCTTGCGAAAGTGCTGCGCCTGCCACGAAATCTATACTTGACCTTGCGAAAGTGCTGCGCCTGCCACGAAATCTACACTTGACCTTGGGAAAGTGCTGCGCCTGCCACGAAATCTACACTTCACCTTGCGAAAGTGCTGCGCCTGCCACGAAATCTATACTTGACCTTGCGAAAGTGCTGCGCCTGCCACGAAATCTATACTTGACCTTGCGAAAGTGCTGCGCCTGCCACGCAATTCAAACCTAGCGAAACCTTCGCGCGGCCGTGCCAATGGTCCCGTCTCCGAGACCGTTCCGAGACCGTTCCGAGACCGTTCCGGGACCGTTCCGAGACCGCCTCCGTACAGGCGTCGCGACCGAGGTGGTTTGCGCACTGTCCGGAAGCCCAATTCACGCATGGCACCAACGTTTCTGCAACTTGCTATCCCCCAGCTCGCAGAAAGTGGACGCAGCACCTTGCGAAAGTGCTGCGCCTGCCACGAAATCTGTACTCGACCTCGCGAAAGTGCTGCGCCTGCCACGAAATCTATAGTTGACCTTGCGAAAGTGCTGCACCTGCCACGCAATTCAAACCTAGCGAAACCTTCGCGCGGCCGTGCCAATGGTCCCGTCTCCGAGACCGTTCCGAGACCGTTCCGAGACCGTTCCGGGACCGTTCCGAGACCGCCTCCGTACAGGCGTCGCGACCGAGGTGGTTTGCGCACTGTCCGGAAGCCCAATTCACGCATGGCACCAACGTTTCTGCAACTTGCTATCCCCCAGCTCGCAGAAAGTGGACGCAGCACCTTGCGAAAGTGCTGCGCCTGCCACGAAATCTGTACTCGACCTCGCGAAAGTGCTGCGCCTGCCACGAAATCTATACTTGACCTTGCGAAAGTGCTGCACCTGCCACGCAATTCAAACCTAGCGAAACCTTCGCGCGGCCGTGCCAATGGTCCCGTCTCCGAGACCGTTCCGAGACCGTTCCGAGACCGTTCCGGGACCGTTCCGAGACCGCCTCCGTACAGGCGTCGCGACCGAGGTGGTTTGCGCACTGTCCGGAAGCCCAATTCACGCATGGCACCAACGTTTCTGCAACTTGCTATCCCCCAGCTCTCCTGATTTCAGCTTTTCTCGTAGCTTTTTTCGCGCACATCCATGTATCTTAAAGCTATCTATCTGTCAAGCTGGTTATATGTCAAAGCTATCTATCTGTCATGCTAGTCTTTGGAAAGCTATCTATGTGTTAAGCTGGCTATATGTCAAAGCTATCTATCTGTCATGCAAGCCTATTGGAAAGCTATCTATCTGTCAAGCTAGCTATATGTCAAAGCTATCTATTTGTCATGCTAGCTACCTGTCATAGCTATATGTCAAAGCAGCTAGCTCATTTAGTTCCAGTACTACGGAAGTTTCTTGTTAAACTTCCTTTGATCATATCTATATATGTATAGCCGAGTGTGTCGTCAAATCTTCGGGTCATGTGTGTGATGCCAAGTGCGACAAATCCATCCGAAAACGATTGACACACTAATTGACACTGGTCTTGATGAATCAATGAATGAACACATCCTTGGCAAATGCTTTCGCGGTAGTCCGCCTTCTTCTGAATCCAATACTTTCACCTCTAACAGCTAAATTGGAAGGCCTTCAACCAGCTTTGCCAACTCTTCTGTGAAAGGGGCTGGTTGCGTTCGCTTTGAGAACCCAACCTTGGCCAGGATGGGCTTCAGCACGAGTCCGGAAGATTTTGGTTGCCGGGACCCGGCAGAAACAAACTCATCCTCATTACAGCCTCGCAGGCAACCCCTGACATCCTAGGTCTCGTTTTGCCTCCTTTAAACATGACAAATAAAGGTCTGGTATATTCATCTGACATCTGGTAAATCATTAGAACAACACTAACACCCCTTCATTTGCTTCAGCCCCGAGGAAAATAGAAATCATATTTCCACTGGTGATAGATTCGCTTTCAAACCAGGGGAAAGTAACACATCTTCTCCGGCAAATGGGAAGCACCAAACCACAAAAAACAAGAAAGAACACGCATGCATTTCCCAGGCGCCCGTGGCTTGACGATCCAAGGTCTCCTTTTGATTCTTTTTGGACACGCATGACAAACAAACATATTAGGTAAACTCATTAGAACCACACTTGACACCAGTGAACAACACCCATCCATTTCCGACTGACCGGTTTGACGATCCAAGGCTCATCTGCTGGATCTGAGGCTTGAGCTGCACGAACTCCTTGGCGTCAGAGAGCCGCGCCTCATAGCCCGCCCCGCTGCTGGACAGCATCATGGTTCCTGCGAGACGGGGGTGGCGCGTCTTCTTCGGCGTTTTTTTTTTTTGGCCCAAAAGGGCGCAACGGTTTTCCGGGTTGGCTTCTTTTTTTAGAACCAAGCAACAATGGGGTGCCCCAAGAAGAGAGCCAACAATGGGGTTGCGAAATCCCTGGCGCAAGAGTAGACTGCTTCTGCTTCAAGAGGAAAGCCCAAGGAAGCCTAAGACGCCTCAGCAAACTTTGACCTATGGGGTGGGTGGGGTGGGGGGTGGGGTGGGTGGTGGGTGGGGTGGGTGGTGGGTGGGGTGGGTGGTGGGTGGGGTGCGGGGTGGGGGGTGGGGGGTGGGGGTGGGGGGTGGGGGTTGGGGTGGGCCTGAAGTCTCAGGTTGGATCAAACCCATCAGCCGGGCCCTTTTTTGCTCGTTGTTTCCTTAGGCATGGTGGGCTCAAAAAGACCTGGGCTGTGACCCCAAGCGAACCGTTGAGCCCGCTGTGCCCAATGTGCAACCCATGGTATGCTATTTCTTGCCCGCAAAAAGGCTCATCTTTTCTTTCTCTTTGACTTTTTCTCACTTGCCCAAATGACCTGGACATAAAAGGTTAGCCTTTTGGGACCTCTACTAAACATGGCCCAACATAGGAACACCATGTTGGTCAAAGAGGTCGATTCGCTTTGGGCAAGTGCCCGCTGAACATCCCAATCCCCACTAAATAGACTAAACTGGGTGGTGCACCTGCCCCAAAATGGTACCATTGGTTTTGACCCTGGGTAGAAGCAAAGATGCTTCCAAATGTAACGTTGAGCCCGGCTTTCCGGCGGTTCCGAGCACGGCCCGTCCTCGCGGCAGCCACTTCGCGTGCTCCGTTGTCAGCACCCCATGCTCCATGACCTGCCCAGGTTGCTTCGACGTTTGGTGAACCTAATCATTGCACCGGCCCAGAACACCCAACAGGAGTTTTCCGAAGTTATCCTCTTCAAGATGCGGGCCAAGTGTTTGATTGCTTTAAGCATCATCTTTGGGCCAATGGGCAGAGAGTCCCCCTTGGGCAGTTTTGCACAGAACCAGGGGTTCTAACCTCTCCAAACCACCTAGGGGCGAACATTTCCGCTTGAAGCACCGCTATAGGGAACCTCTGCACTGAATCCAAGTGGCGTAGACCGAGGAAGGGCCCGTGGACGCGAGGTCGTCACTGCCCACCGACTCATCGGAGGCGACGGCCTCGCTGTAGGCTACGGCCTCCTGAAGTGAAGAGCTCAGTGTCCGAGTGGATTGGCAAAAATGTGAAATTCGTGTCAAGTACCACAAAAACTGGACTTCATCCCCAAAATGGACTTCATCCCCCTAAAAATGGCCTCCTTGCCCAAAAATGGTCTTCAACTAAAATGGTCTTCATCCCTAAAATGGTCTCCTTCCCCGAAATGGTCAACTAAGATGGTCTTAAGCCACAGTCCAGGAACTCAGGGAGTGAGAGATAGGGGCACCCCCAAACATGTTCTCCCTTCAAACCAAAGAAGGAAAAGACAAACACAAGGAACCCGAAGGGTTTCCTAGTGGCTTGCGGCTTGCCTGCAAGCACCTGGATTCCCAGGGATGCCTGATGAAAAGGGGGCCAGCCATCGGGGACATCCTTTTGACTGGCCATCCACCAGCAAGGTTTGATCCGAAACAGGCCCCTGAAGGGCAAGGACTTTGCGCTCGAACCTGTCTTCGGCCTCATGCCAGTTGACCTGGATAATGGACGACTGCTTTGGCAGGAGTCCCACTCACCTCAACTCACCTGACCTCGCCTCACCTCACCCCATCTGACCTCGCCACTCATTGGCTGCCCCTTTCTTGATGGCAGTGGCTCCTCATCGTCCTCTTCGCCAGCGGCGAGGGACAGCAAAATGGCCAGGCCCAGGATTTTCGGAAGCCGCAGCATGGCGGATCTGGGAGCTCGATTTTGAGCCCTTGCTGCACGTCTGCGCCTCCCTAGCCTTCCGCAAGCAGGAGTAAAATTTGATCTCTTTGTATTTTTTTGGTTGGGGGTCTTTGTTTCCAGAGACGCCCACCTGATTCATAAGAGGGGAGCAGGCACAACTATACCATTGAGAACGCCATCGGATTGCCCTAGGCCAAGGCGAAGAACTGCATCCACCGCATCCACCGCACCCACCCATCCCCGTTGAATCTAACCTAGCGGTGCCGCACTCAAATTCAACGGATTGAGCATCGAGTTTGATCCATCGAGCCCCCCCTTGCCTGTCCAGCCCATCGAGCAATGAGCGATGATAATGCCAGTTCACTGGCTGAAAGGGAAGCTTTTTGTAAAGGTTGACTGCATGCTTCAAGTTAAACATGCTCGGCCCTTCCCCCTACACCAAGCATGCCTGATCCATCAAGGAGTTAACAGCTGAATAGCCAAACAAGATATAACTGGAGTGAACAGACATACTCATTTCTAGCCTTGAGTCGACCAATAAGAACCAAGGAAAGGCCTGGATTTGGTGCAAGAGCACCCGCGCCTGCGCTGACGCCAGCGATGCCAGGACATCTGCATCGAGACTGGTGCAAGGCTTTGCGAGCTGGCTTCCCAACCTGAACTTTAGGTCTAACCCTGATCCTCAGAACCAGGGCTTGGGAATTTGATGGAATTTGAAATACGCGGACTTCCGAGCCAAGGAGAAGGGTGACTGGAATTCTGGAGCTTTACCCCAAAGCTTGGGCTCACTTGAACCAAAGCTTGCCAGTTTTCAAAACCCAAGCGGGCAATGGCAGCCCAGTCAAAAGGCGACGTGGGTATGCGAACTGGACGAAATCCTGAACCAGTTGGTAGGTGGCTCGTTGCATAGGCTTCTCATCGATCCTAGTGGCTTCGCTATCAGCCTTTATTTGCGGATACGTCCGGATGAAACAATGAGCATATGTTTCCAGTGAAATCGATTCCCCCTCGAAACCAGTAGTGAAATCGGTTCCCTTTAAAGCCAAAAGGGGAAATACACCAAAAACAGACAACATTTAATCATTTTAATATCATTAATTTAGAATCATGAATAATTTAATTGAACAGGAAACCTATATAATAATTTTGTTTGTTTAGCAAATGGAAGCTGATCGCACCTGGAAGATCAGCTTCCTCTTAAGCTCAGCTTCCTCTTAAAGGCACCCCCTGTAAATTGTGCGTAGGAAGGAGGGTACTCATTTCAGCAAATGGACGTCAAAGCTCCGCTTTCTGACACATTCCTCGACTTCTCGCCTGCAGCTTGGCCCCAGCTGCAGGGAGCGCCTCAAACCCGGGCAAGGGAGTCACTCGCTTTGGGCGTTGGGTCTGACCCTTGCCATGCTGAAACTTGGCCGAGTCGTCTTACAAAAGTGGGTCACAAGAACACCCGAGGGATAACACAGTCGTTGGATTCGAATGCGCGCTGAATTTCTTTTGGGGGTTTGGCCTGACTTTGACCTCCGCAAACAGCCAAAGTGACACCAGTGCATTGCTGGGGCAGCTGTGGCAGTCAGGGTCCAGGCAATGCCGGCAGCGCGTTGAGAAGCCTAGGTGCATTTTCTGGCGCAGTGCTCGGTGCCTTGCAAATCTGATTGAATCAACACCGAATATGACGGCTCCCTGTGACAAAACCTAGATGACCACACCCGATGGTAGGGGCTTACTTAAGTATTCACAGGGGTCCTTTCCAACTGGTTCAGGATTTTGAGCATCCATGGAAGGAACCTCATGGTGAGGTTGCTAAAGCTTGCCCAAGAGAATTGCACCCAAAAGCCGCTTTTGGTTGGCTGCTTGAGGGAATCCCCCCTATAGAAAGGAAACAGTCTGGAGACTGCACCGGTTCAAACAAAGGAGCACCCATTGAAGCAGCCTGGTCGGTGATTCCCAAGGCTCAAGAACAGAAACCCCAACACCTTTAACTGAAACAGTTCCACGGCTGGTTTAAGGCTGCGACCGTGAACCCAAGCAGCCCAATGTCCCCTTTGGTCCCTGAACTCCCTAAACAAACGCAACACAGCCATATCGCAGGGTGTCTCTCCCGATAGACTAACGTTTCATCATGAACCAGGACCAAAGAACATGCCATATACCACGATGGGGTGGAGCATCAAATGGCAAATGTTTGCATTGGTTCCCTAAACTCCCTGACATTGCAGGATCCTAGTAAAACAACCCACCACGACGAAAACTTGTCGCGTCCACTCGTTGATTCCCGAGCTGCTCTGCCACGGCTTCGCCGGCCTGGCGAGGAGAGAGACTCGGGGGGGAGCTGCGCCCTGCGTGCATCCTGGTGCGGATTTCCTGATTTTTGACTTCACGAGGGGCGGACAACTTTCCGAAGTTTGGGAGGTCACTCAGAGAAGTTTTGGCGGAAATCCTGGAAGTTGATCCTTTCGGGAAGCGTCGCCAAGGAAACCATGCCATCTGACACATCTTGTCCCCAGTTCCTGCAAACCTTGTGGTCACGAACTTGGGTGTTGCGGTCATGTGCCCGGAAAAGCGACGTCTTTTGGGTGTCCAGAAACGAAACCTCATCAAAACTGATTGGACACGCCACAAAAAAAAAACACCTGCATTGGAAGCCTTGCATCTTGTCAGGTCCCTTTTGAGGTCCCAAGGTTCTCAGTTGGCACAGCCACATTTTTGAAGCCCAGGCCGATGGCTAAAAACGTCTCATGTGTCCCCGTTGATCGAGGAAGATGGGCGCTCTGCTTCTTGTTCATGGAGGTGTGCTGTGCCCGATTTTGAACAGCGCAAAGGGGACACCAAAGGGAACTGAAACCGTCCCAGCCAAACATTTCCTGTTTCTGTGGCTTGAAATCCAGGTGAACACCCAACCACACGCAAGCCCCCGGACCCTCAAAAATCCACGCTGAAGCGTGGCCAAAGCGCTCCGTTGAGTGACAATTCCAATGCCAGGCGCTGCACAGCAGGCGCCCTGGCGAGATGCACAAGCACTTGGATCAACGTGTTCAAACGGATCCGGCCGTATCCGGCCCAGCAATTTCTCGATTGCTTCTTTGAGATATGTGATTGCTTACTATACGAATCATGGTGGTTTACGTGTTTTGGACCCAATGGTTTGCATTTCAGGAATGCCCGCTTCAGCTTGTTTTTCAGTGCTCAAGTTTCCGAATTCTCACTGGTGAGACAGATAACGTCTTTGACGTTGAAGTATTGAACCTGCTCCCCGGCCGAGTGTGCTCCACCAAACTGCACGAGCAGTCGTGCCGCCGCATGTGTCTTGCCTTAAGCCGCATCTGGCGCGGCTTCAGCCGCAGCTGGCGCGGCTTCAGCCGCAGCTGGCACGGCTTCAGCCGCAGCTGGCACGGCTTCTGCCGCAGCTGGCACGGCTTCAGCCGCAGCTGGCACGGCTTCTGCCGCAGCTGGCACGGCTTCAGCCGCAGCTGGCACGGCTTCTGCCGCAGCTGGCACGGCTTCAGCCGCAGCTGGCACGGCTTCAGCCGCAGCTGGCACGGCTTCAGCCACATCTGTGTTTGTTTCAGCTTCAGCTGCCTTGGGTTCACCTGCTTTTGCTTCAGCCGAGGTTTCAGGAGTTTGCTCCGGGCTGGCCGGATCCTGACCGAAATTCACGGACTTTGTCATCTTTTGGGCTGTGGATGACTCCTTGCAAACGTCTTTGGTGTCCTTCCAATTCACCCAATCGCTGCCTTCTGTCAGCAGCTCCAGCTCTTCAGTGATCTCATCGTTGGTGTAGCCCGCCTTTCTCACCTGGCTCCAAAAGCTGAGGAACTCCGCCTTCGACACAAATCCGTTTCCTTGGCTGGAATCAGGACCCCAGCAAACATATTTGTTGCCTGGCTGGTGGAAAACAAAGGGAACCCCAAAAAAGCAAAAAAAAAACAAAACAAAAGCAAAAGGGGACCCCACAAAAGCAAACGAGCAAAAAACAAAACGAAAGCAACAAACAAAACCCCAAAAAAACAAACAAAGGGAGCTTCCCCAGAAAAAAAGAAGAAACAACAACAACAATCCCGGGGGAGCTGAATTTTCTGGTTGGAAGTTTCCATCATCATCCACCTCGTCGAAGAAGGCGTTGGTGTTGACCTTCTTGAAGCTGCTGAAGAACTTCTGGGCCTCCGCCCTCGTGATCTTCCCGTTCTCGTCCACGTCCATCTTGCCGAACAACTCCTCGATCCTTGGACGTTGGGTTTAGGGGAGCAAAAAATGGGAAACAAGCCACAATAAGAATAAACACAAATGCAAATTTTAGCAGCTAGGTGGATTTGGATTTCAACCACTAAGCCACAAGAAGCAAAAATAAGCAAAATGTTTTTCCCAACAACCACCATGGATCTTGCCTTTGGCATCCGGGCTGAGCTGAGAACTCGCACCACAACCCATGGCTCTCAACGGCTCGCTGCGCGGCCTTCACGTGCTCAGTGCCGACGGCTTGAGTAGGTTTTGACGATTGAGCTGGTGCTGGATGCTATGGAGGTGACTGGCTTGCCTAGTTGATTGAGCAAAAGGCTTTTGCATTTGGGACGCCACCTGAGTTCTCCCCTCAATCATGGTGCATGGCCAATGTGGTGTGCAAGTCTAAGTCGGACGGATGGCAACTCTTCCCGTCAAACATGTGTGCCATTCTTCCCCGAATTGCTAGGGGCCCATCGCCTTGCCTAGCTGCATCCCAAGTCGTTGCTCTGATGGCCACCCCAAATCAGGGTTCCTGTTTTCCCACTGGGCTAGGCATTCAAACTGAAGGTCGCGCGGGGGTTTACACGTTCAATCAAAGGCGCAGCCTACAAAAATCTGGGAGAGAAAGCGTAGCTGACAGAGTTATATGCAAGAGCATGTCCTGACAGCACAACACAAGCGCATGATCTGATTTTAATCCCTGGGCAAGTTCTGTAAGCAAGTTTCTCCGAGCAGGTTTCGTTGAGCAAGTTCTTTGAGAAAGTTCTTTGCTCAAGTTTCTCTGTGCACATTTCAACGAGCAAGTTCTTTGAGCAAGTTCTTTGAGCAAGTCCGTTTGCGCAAGTTTTTTGAGCAAGTGCTCTGAGCAAGTTTCAATTGCTGCGAAAACGTCCTTCGCACACTGCTTTCGCAGCCAAAACATTGCGATTTTCTAGGTTGCCACGAAAGAGCGGCGCGCAAACCATCAGACAAGCTTTCGCCCCTGCGTACCGACCAGGGAAAGCGTGGTTTCTTGCCTTTGGATTACAGCGCATCAAAGCTTCGTCCCCCGAACATGGCTCCAGGAGCTTGGCCCTACATGGCCGACATGAAATCCTGAGCGGCGCCGGCGGTCCCACCCGGCCGCCTTAGAAAGCTAAGTTTAATTAGACAGCAAGATCTCTACGTGAAATCTCGGAAGCTCTTTGAGCAGGTTTCGTCGAGCAAGTTCTCTGAGAGAGTTTCTCTGAGCAAGTTTCGCTGAGCAAATATTGAGTAAATCCCTCAGAAAGTTCTCCAAGCACCTCCCCACTCGGCGTGGGTAAGCAATGCTTGACTTACTCTTGGCCCACATCTGGGGTAATGTTGACCCCGTGCATATTAAAAGGGGGGTTGTTCTCATCCCCACCGGGGACACTCTCCTATGAATCAACCAGGCGTTCGATATTCTGGGGTTAACATCCAACTATGCAACCTTCACCCTTCGACACAAGTAGCTTTCAGGGAAAGCACAGTCAGCTCGGCTGCCCCAACCTATGCCAGGGCGCAGAGAGAAAGCCCTGGACAAATGCCTGAGCAAGTGAGCAGCCACGCGTCGTGCGCAAAGACCGCACATTCCAGAGTGTGTCTTTGTTGGGAACCTTCTTGGGGCTCTTGACCGGAAACAACAATTGAAACCACTCGTTGCTGCATATCCCGTATATGCATTTGGAACTAATCCTTGACGGCCCACAGCAGCATGAGATGAACATCGGCTGATCGGACGACATGCCTATGCCAATCGGACACATATGAATCGGGAACTTCCATTGGGACCCTTTGGCGGACGTACTTCCAGCATTTCTGAGGGTCTCATTAACACGTAGTGAAGTGTGTTTTGGGTTGGTCTACTGGGGATTCCCCTACAATTCGTCCTTGAATTTCTCTACAGAACCGTCAACGTGTCTTTTGAACGCGTGTCTTCCGCTTTTCGCGCGCCTCAGGCTCCCGAGAAAAAAACAAAAACATGAATCCCATGGCTCAGTCGTGGCCACTGCCTCGCCTTCATGGACCGGCACGGCCAGCCCTCCTGGAGAGCTTTGCCCGGGACAGGTGGTGAATTGATAAAGCCCCGTTGGACAAATATCCGAGTGTATCACTTCTATAACCCTTAAAGACCTTAGATCTAAGTGCATACAGGAACCCACCCTCCCAATGAGTTGACTTCCAAAAATGTTCTTTTCCATGTTTGCAAGGTAAATGGGAAGCCGCCGCCGACCCAACAACTCCCAGCTGAAGCCATTGGTGCCCTTTGGTTGCCCATGCCACGGCGGCATGAGCCCAACCGAGTGCATAGGGATTGGAACCACCCCCCTGGTTGGTTCAACCATGGAGATCACCCGAGATGAATTCGCCTCCGTAGTTCCTCTATGGGGCGTGCCGGGATTGGGGAGAAGCAAAAGATAACTGTTTCCTGGAGGGAATGCTGCAGGCCAATGGGGTCGCTTCACGAGAGCAAGCCCCGCACATGCTTCTGTGGACGGAAATTTCGACAGGGCGAGAGGGCATCTCCCACAAGTCAAGCCGCAAAACCGAGAGTAGGGCAAGACAGACGAGTGGAGCGTCCCGATTTGGGATGGCTTTGACTTAAAGACTCGCCTGGGAAAATGGAGTCATGGAGTCAATACAAGTGTTACCCTTGGACATCCGCGATGGACATTCAAGCGAAAACCAGCGTTTAAGGCTCCGAGGAAAAAAAAAGAAACACGGCCAGAATAGATTTGGTTGGATTTCGGATCTAGGGTTGGTTTAAAAAAAAACACTGGCACGCAAGAAAGATGAAACAGGTATGTACCAAATAGGTTGGCTTCCCTTGGTTTCCCTTCAAGGTGAAAAGGGCAACCTCGAGAGCACCGTCCCGCAAGTTTCGCTCTCCGAGCCGAAGCATCCAACCTTCCGCCCGCGATCTACGCTGCGCAAATGACGACAAGGGGGTCTGATCGATCAGACATAAAACAACAGCGGAAAACAAAACAACAACAACCAGATATAACATGCTGCGGGAAATAGCCGGTTTCTGATTCCTGTTGGTAGGCTGGACAAACAAATCATGTACTCAGCACCCAAGTGCTCTCACTCGCGAATGTAGTCCATGGGCTTGTTCCATATCCTGCAAGCCGAGTGGCAAAGGGGATGAGCTCTGGTCACACGGGCTGAACTAAGAATTACGTGAGTGAGGCCTCGCAGCAAAACTGCTTTCACATTTGCCGTGTTATGTTAGTTTTGGCCCAATCGGCTTGCCTGATTCATCTTTTCAAGCATTCACATTTGTTTGGTTGCAATACCTTGTCCTCAGGTAAGGTCAAGGTTGCGCCTGCTGGCTTTGAGTGTATCTGGCATCTGTGGGGTAAGGAGCTGCTTCGATGAGCCCAAATAGGCTCCGGGGTCCGGGGCGGCCCTGAGGTAAGGTTCCACGAGGGTTCCACCAGGTTCTGCGATGGCTGCGGGGTGGTGCGAGCACTAAAAAGAGCACCGCATGCTGTTGGGGATATCACCTGAGCTTATGCACATTTTGGTAGCTCTGATTAGCCCGGTCCGGGCACTCCGAAGATCACAACTGCCATTGAACTTCCTACAACTCTCAGCTCTCAGATGGGTCTCCAGGGCTGGGCGAGCTTGTTATGCAGGTGAGCCGGCTCTTCCTTGCTGAGGGATAGATATACATATACCTCTGACACCCTCCGAGAGAAATAAAAACGACCCCGCAACTGTGCTTTTAGGTATTCATAGGCTATACAAGTCCAAGGTTCCCAGTTTTCGGAAGGGGGTCCTGTATTTCCCTTCGAACATTCACACGCTTACAACTTGCAACAGGAAGCCCCCGTGTGAACTGGGAACGCACGCAAAACCCCGACTCGGGGCCCGGTCCACTTGTTGGCGGACCACTTGGTGCCGTCTTTCACCTCGCAGCCTCCGTGCAAAGAGGTCGGGTCGTTCTGCCCGGATGGGTGCAGCGAGTAGAAGATGATGATCCGCCCTCGCCTTCAACATGCCAGCTCGGCAGCCAGGAACATCTAGAAGTTATCCAATATCTCTGTAGACTTTCCGATGTCTAGTTTCTGGAAACAATGTGTCTGGGCAAATGTTCGGTTGAGTTTCCTTTGGGTGTGGTGTGTGGTGATGCTTCTGGGGCACAGGCACAGTGGCGGGGCCCTGGTGGTTGATGTGTATTGAAAGCCAAAAGGACACTATGGCCAGTTCAAGGCATTCTAGATGGACCTCATCGTGGCCTTTGCTTCGAAGGGGAAGGGAACTCATGCAGTCAGCTGCTTATGACTGGCGTTTCACGCGGGAATTCGTTCCTAATGCAGCCAGCTGCTGACTGGCACAACCAGAATGATGGAAACTGACCAGATCATCTGAGTTTAAGAGTCACCTGAGTCATCTGTCATAACCAAAAGCTGGGATCATCTGAGTTTGAGAGTCACTTGCCAGAAATCCATCGATCGAAGCTGGCCTAGGGGTCACGGAGACGCCCTTGGAGCAATCATCGAAGTCGTGGGGCTGCGGTTTGCCCCCGGCCCGCGGGAAGTTGGTCTCGCCCCCTGAAATCCGAAACCGAGAGCCCAAGCCGAATAAAACGCGAGCAGAACAGCTCCAAAGTGCCTCACGGAAGTTGAGGAAGCTTTTTCTTCTTTTTTCCGACCTTGTGTGGATTTGTGTGGCGTGAAGCCGTGACATGTTGATCTGCACCTTGATGAATTGCCATTGGTATTCAGCAGGCGGGGCTTTTGTTGAGATTGCTTTTTAGAGGATTCCCTGATTAATGGGGTTTTCAAATCAGTCATAAGCATTAGGCACACCTCCGCGCTGCCCTCTCTCGAGCACCAAATGAAAGCTTGCAGGACTGTTGGGGTATGTTCTTTTTTGGAGCTGAGCCGTTTCCATGTTCTGGGCCGCGAAACGAGAATCATCTAAAGCTGACGCACTTGGACGTGTCAAAGCTCGGGACTGCCATTTATAAATCGAGCCAGCATGGCATCAACCACTTGAAGAGTGCCTTGGCTGTGATACATACAAGCTCTGCATTGGATCTCTGTCACGTCTCGGGAAGAGGACTTGTCAATGCATACCTGATATGAGGAAGCAAGGGAATATCGGAATGGCTTTCTATGGAGAAAATCATTGGGTACCAATCACTGCTTGGCACTAGAGATGATTGGAAAGCTACGCATCGTCAACGTGCTAATCATCTAGAAACTGGTGGCCTGCAAGAGACAATAAGCTGCCCGTCGATCTCTGCGTGCGATTGCCAGCCAAAACCCCCAAACCAACCCTCTCTTGACCTTTCCCCTCGAGGATGCTAAAGTCAAAACCCTCAACCAATCCAATCCACTAACTGGGAGCAACCTGAGCTGTGGGATTTGTTTTTCCGATTTTTTTGGCCACTGAGCCAACCTTTACTCCAAATTGATCTCCATTTTTTTGCCTTTGGAGGGCCCAAAAAAGACCGGCGGGTCAAAAGAACCAACTGGCTTGGCATGGGTGTCCGCAATTGGAAACACAAGCACCACCGAGCAGATGAAAAGCAAAGCAACTGCAGCGACCAATCACTTGCGACACAACATGTTAACGCGCGCCGCCACGCGTAGATCAGAAGCCAAATGTACCGAAGTGCAACGTTGTCACAGGATCTCGACCTGCCCTCCCCTAAGAAACCCTTTTCCCTTGGCTTCCTCACAAGGCCTCGAGCCTCAAGGCCTTTTTCAGGTCCGACTTTGGGGAAAGAGGGGGAGGGGTGTCGGGGATCAGTGTCCCATTCACTTAGACAGCGGCCCTTGCAGTGGATCTCACGTACTCTGAATCTTTGATCATGACAGGATTTCCACGATCCCAAATCACCGCTTGTAGGCTCATGTCCCATTTTCCCCGCCTTCCGCTACATCGCTAAGGTAGAAGAAGACCGTAGCTAAACCTGAGCATTGGCTCGAGAGCCTTTCTTCACGGGCACGAAATCTCTCACGCCCCAAGGGCTGCGACTCCTTTGGAGCTGCATGGGTTGAGCCCGGCCAAACTTCTCAGCACCGAACGGGGCCAAAACCGCATGGAAAAAAAACAACAGCTCCGGGCTGGGCGGTTTTGGAGCCTTTGACCTTGTCCCGGCTCTTGAGGTGTGGCAGGGGCGCCCATCATGTCAAGCCCCCGGGCGAAACACTTCCGCGACTTTTGGACTTGACTTACCTCATTCCAGCCCTCTGGCGCCTCGAGCCCTCTTCACGTTGGCCAAGCGGCCCTGGGGCGTTTCAACATGCCCAAACAGGACGGGTCCAACCCCAACCTGCTGCTGCGGGGCGATTGAAGATGCCCTTCTTGATCATCTTCTGGATGTCTGCGTTCTTCCTCAAACGCCGGGGTGGGGTAGGAAACGCGACAACTGTCCGAGCTTTCAGCTGCATCAGAAATTGGGGTTGGCTTGACCAATTTTGCCAAGCTGCGCGTACATGGCGGAATCAAAGTAGTCATTGTGTGCCTTAGCTTCACAAAGTGAGGCTTCAGAACTCCCACCCCTTTCGGGGAAGGGGGGGGAATGCGGCAGGTACGGTCGATTGCTTTTTCAAGAGGACCTGCAAACTGAAATGCTGCAACTTGCTGGTTTCAAAGGGTGTTGCAAAGGACTTGGAACATATTGTACAACTATCAATCACATGCATTTGGACGGACATTGCTGTGTTTGGAGGGGTCAATGGAGCAAACAAATGCCTCCCAACAAGAGCGCTGGGTTCCTGGATGAAGCTCAAAAAGACCAGGAAAACAGGTAGGGTCTTGCTTTTTGTGGGGGGGGGACTGAACAAATGTAAGTTGCATTTCCAGACCTCCCCCAGTTTCGGTGCAGTGGGATGCCGGGCTTCAACCTCCCACTTTCGTGCCCAGCTGCAACGTAGCGCTCGCCTTTCCTCGAATCAAGCACACCATGCGCACGTCCCCGTGAATGCAAGGCAAATGCTATTCGAGACGCTATTGCTGAAGGAGATCTGGCAAACAAAACCGTGCGCGTGGGGTTTTTTGGGAACCTGAAAGAAAGCCGCGTGG